TTATTCATAGAAATAGGACGTCTACTGTGAAAAAGCTTCATTAAAAGTTCTTATCTATTTGACAAGATTTATTGAGATTTTTGGTTCTGAAAGTTAAAGTGAAAGAATTTGAATTCTATATGATAAATATATGTACATGTAGAAATAGTTGAAAGATATCCTCTTTAAAACAGCGAGACGTCCTTTTTACATGCTGTTACATTTCATTAAAGTATCCTATGGTATCGTGAAGGAAACATCTGAAAAACATAAATAAAAGGCCACATTTACAAAAATGCTCATTGTTGTTGAAAGCTCTTCTGTTTTCTTTTCTGTTTATGTAGCTTCAATTAAACGAAGAATAAACTAAGCATAAATATGTTCGATTTAAAGTGAATATCTTCCTGCGCTTTCAGGTAACGGAACAAGACCAACGCCTAAACCGTCTACCACCACCACAACAACAACTACAACTGTTCCCACCACAACATTGAAATGTACGTACATTCTCGGGACAGGATTTATTGCAATTACTTCGAAAATATACAGCACACGCTCTAACAACTACAAAATGCGGGTTACCTCGTCTGTATAAAACGTTAAGCATGTATTTCCATATCTATTTGTATATTATCTACATCCGCTTGAAAAGTGAGAGGGGATATTGTAATCGGTATGTCCGTCCTCCGTCCGTCTGTACGTCCGTCCGTTCCGCAACTCCTCATATACCACTGAGTGAGATTTAATGAAACTTTCACAGAATCTTTATTACATAATGCCATTGTTAACCTACTACATGTATTTTACTTTTTGATCTGACACATATTTGCTTTCCCGGCCACAACAAAACATGGACTTTGTGATCAGTTATAACCATATGGGAGGCGGGGGTATCCTTTAGGGAGCTCATTGCTCTCAGTACGTCTAGTTTTCTCTGTGATAAGACTTTGAAAGTTGGTTGATTTAATTTTTTTTATCATTCTAAGGGCACGTTAATTTCGCCAAGCGAAACATGTACGTTAGTAACTATGGGTGTCTATTTTACGTGTAAATCTCGCGCGTCTGTCTTTGTATCTTACACCAAGGAGGTTTGATATGTAAATGTAAATCTCGTGCATCTGTCTTTGTGTTTGACTTCAGACGGGCAGGAAGTATTGAAGTTGAGGCCTCTTGTCATTTAAATCTTTTAGCCTACTTTTTTTAGAATCGAAATGTACAATTTTATATCACAATAAATGGAAATATAAGGGCATATATGTAACCGACTAGTTATATAGTAGGATATGCCAGGGACATCAGCGGAAGTTTTTGTTTTAGATTCGTTCCCGTTTGACTGTTGGGAAATCCTGCATAATGGTTTTAATACCACTGGCGTATATCAGATATATCCCTGGGGATCCAGTGGAAAGTCAATAGACGTACTCTGTAATATGGATGTTGACCCAAAAGGATGGACGGTAGGGAAGATTAATTAGATTATAATGATTGTTATTTACAGATATATATCTTTTGCACTCAAAATGAACACCAGAACTATGTCTTTGTTTTATCCGGAGTTATAATAACTGTACATGTTTGGTTTATTTGTTATTATTGGTGTCATAACAGAATTACACTTTGGTTCACGTCAAATCATGGCTGACGCAAAATATAATCCCGGAATCTTCCCTTTCGATTCGGGCATTTTGTTACGAGCCTGGAGCTGATTTTATTTATGAGATGAAAAACAACATGTAAACTTCCTGTATTGACCAGATTTATTAAAATTTAGGGCCTGCTGATTTTTCTATATACTGTCAAGGGTGGGGAGTGATTATGCCCTAGTCTAGATTATCAAGCACCTGCTTGACTTCGACCGAAACAAACTTGCGTGCCTTGCTGGATGGCTATGTATATTTTGGTACTAAAATCTTCATTAAGAATGGCTTTACAAGATCTGAAAAGGAAACCTCTCAGAAGTTTGTTTTGAATTAGTTACATCTACTCAAACTTGCGCATTTTTGGTAAGAATATATAGCAGAAATAAATACTAATGTGACACCTGCAGTAAAACCGAATTTTGTACTTAGAAAATAATGTAATCTAAGAATTAAGGTTTTATTTTGTGAGTTAAGACGAAAATGAGAAAAAGTGGCATTTTTTGGCCGTCATTGCTGTTCGTTCATGTTTAATGGAGCATAGAAAATTAGTCCAGATTTCCTCTAAAATAAATTATGTTGGCCACACCACGGCCTTATTTGGATGTATCGCATTGAGAGAAATGCATGAAATTTAGAGGACAGATTAAAAAATACCTTGCCATCACACTCGTTAACATTATTTACTCATAAATAATTTTAAAATCTATAAATTAAAAAAAATAGACCACACTCGGAGCAAAATGAAAATTCTGAATATGTGTAAACATTGGTTTATTTGAAATACATTGGTAACAGATAAAGAATTCCGGTCGAAAAAAATAATTATTGAGGCATTCAATCGTAATTAAGCAGACAACTCCTTAATATTTCAATAATATTTATTTTTTCAATGCCCTTTTTAACCCCACCCCCAACCTTATGACACAAACTATTTCTTTCCCCCTGTTATAAGAAGCAAACTTATTTTGAACAATTTTTCATCCTCTTGTGAATCAGTATGCATCCATTAAAAGAATTAAAACGAAAAAGCCGCACAAGTTTAACGCGCAAGATCATTACATACAGTTCAACTTTTGCCATATTTTTAGAAATCCGTGTTCACCGCGAAGCCCCCTGTCACCGAGTTTTGCCCGTAATTTTCCTATCTTGGGACAGATTTTTTATGAAACTTGGTAAATACATTAAATAATCATCATAGATCAGGAAAACAGCAATATACCGGCAAGGAAAAAATTTAAGTTTAATTGCAGGTGTCGTAACAGTATTACACTTTGGTTCACGTCAAATCATGGCTGACGCAAAATATAATCCCGGAATCTTCCCTTCCGATTGGGGCATTTTGATACGAGCCTGGAGCTGATTTTTTTTATGAGATGAAAAACAACATGTAAAGTTCCTGTATTGACCAGATTTATTAAAATTTAGGGCCTGCTGATTTTTCTATATACTGTCAAGGGTGGGGAGTGATTAGGCCCTAGACTAGATTTTCAAGCACCTGCTTGACCGAAACAAATTTGCGTGCCTTGCTGGATGGCTATGTATATTTTGGTACTAAAATCTTTATAAAGAATGGGTTTACAAAATATGAAAAGGAAACTTCTCAGAAATTTGTTTTGAATTAGTTACATCTACTCAAACTTGTGCATTTTTGGTAAGAATACGGTATATAGCAGAAATTAATACTGTTGTGACACCTGTATTGTACCGCGCATGAATATCTTAAGTAATAAAGTATTTCACAATGGCTGCGCTCTTAATAATACACATATGCTCATGCTAGAGTAGCACAAACACAACAAATTGGCGACGAGGTAAACTTTTAAACTTTGTGAAACCGTTCTTGTCTGATATTATAACCCGCCCGATCGGATCTGTTGTGTTAATTCGCAAGGATGGCCGCATTTGGATTGATTGGCAAAACCGAACCATTTGACGAGGCAATCGAGTCCTGGGAGTCCTATGTTGAACGTTTCGAGCAATATTTTGAGGTCAACGAGATCGACCCTGGGAAGAAGGTATCTTCTTTATTGTGTCTTATTGGTGGAAAACTTTATTCCCTGCTTCGTGACCTGACATTCCTCGACAAGCCAGCCACGAAAACATACCAAGAACTGGTAAGACTACTGAATAGCCATTTGGCTCCTAAACCCATTTAAACGGCAGAGCGCTTTTGTTTCGATAAAAGAGACCAGAAAGAGGGGGAAACTATTACAGAATATGTAGCGCAATTAAAGAAATTATCCATACGTTGTGACTTTAATGCGTCAGTAAATGAAAAGCTGGGAGATAGAATAGTGTGTGGTGTAAGAAATACATAAATTCAGAGACGATTGTTGTCGGAAAAAGATCTTATCATATGAAAAGGCGGTTGAAATAAGTGTCGCAATGGAAGCCGCAGCTAAGGACGCCACAGAATTACAGAGTAAAAACAGGACAGAGACCGGGGCCGTGAACAGATTGCACGTGAAAAACAGACATTCAAAGCCAAGTGATAGGAAGGACAGAAAGCAGTGCTATAGATGTAATGGCAATGGGCATGTTGCACAGGACTGTCGTTTCAAAGATATGGTGTGCCATAACTGTCATAAACGTGAACATATTCAAAAAGCTTGTCGCTCAAAACTTAAAATCTCGAGGAAACCAGTTCAAAGGAAGAAAACTGTTAATTTCGTAGCTGATGATTCTCAGGATCCAAGTGATGACAGACAATTACATAGCCAGTCTGGAACTTAGCAATTTGGCAAGTAAGGATATTTTCCTGATCCAGCTGAAAATAAACGGAAATACGATGAAGATGGAACTTTATACTGGTTCTGCTGTGTCAGTCATGGCGGAGGGGGAGTTCCGAGAAAAGTTTGGAAAACTAAATTTGAAAACTCCGAACATCACGCTTCGCATATACTCGGGAGAACACATCAAGCCAGTGGGTTATATAGATGTACTAGTTGAATATGGTGACACCAGACAGACATTACCCTTGTATGTTGTTCGTTAAGGAGGACCAGCTCTTCTCGGCAGAGATTGGTTGAAGAAAATTCAACTCGACTGGAAAGTGATCAAAGAGACACATGCCATAAACACTGTAAAATCACCAAACATTACTGAAATTTTGGAGAAATACAAGGATGTGTTTAGTGATGATGTTGGAACTGTCAAGGGTATCACAGCCAAGCTGTCACTCAAGGAAAACAAACCCAAAAATGTCAAGGCAAGGACAGTCCCATTTTCCTTAAGAGCAAAAGTTGAGGAAGAACTTGACAGACTAGAAGTGAAAAGAACACTTGCTAAAGTCAAACATAGTGACAGGGCAACTCCAATCGTACCTGTCTTGAAGAAAAACGGAAGTGTGAGAAACTTATGATGGGAAGGGAGTTGAGAACAAAAATGGATCTGCTCAGACCGAACGTGGAATCGAATGTCAAGCAGAAACAAGAAAATATGTGTGCACAGAGACATACACATGAGAGGGAATTCGAGCTTGGACAATCAGTGATGATGCGTGGTTATCGAGGAAAAGATAAATGGATCGCAGGAACAATCGCACAGAGAACTGGACCAGTGTCGTATCGTTTTCAAGTTGACCCGACAACTCAGTGGAGAAGACACGCTGACCAGATTGTGGAATCGCAAGTTCGGATGACAAAACCGAGCATTGAGATTCCAGAGTCAAATACCTCATGTTCTACCAATATTGACCATGATGTTACATCAGGATTTCCATGTGTCAAAACCGAAAGAAATTTCGAAGTCGCCCAAAACTGCACGTACACCACCAAAAGCTACAGCTGTCTTGCCAGAGAAACGTTACCCAGTACGTAATCGTAAACCGAAAATCATGGAAGATTTTGTGTAACATGGTTCTTCTACCAAGACCAAAACCTCATTCGTGTGTGTGTTTAGTTATGTAGAAAAGTTGTACCGTGTAAAAGGGGCACAATTATCCCCTGTACAACTTCATTTTGTCAAATTTTCTGTTTATTTCTAGTCATGTAATGTGTTCATTATATGCATGTAATATCTTATATGCATTATATATTGTAATGCATGCACCTCAGATAAGTATGTTCTTCTTATAAAATTGGTTGTGAACATACCTGGACATAGTAAATTCAATCGGTGACACTTAACTATGAACAAGAATAGACAGTTAATTTCTATTAATCATAATCTACATTCTTATGCACATCAATATAAAAGGGGTGTAAATGTTGTATCCGGAATCATAATATCTGTATAATATCTGTACATGTTTGGTTTATTTGTTACTATATCTTCAGTAATAAAGTAGTTCACAATGGCTGCGCTCTTAATAATACACATGTGCTCATGCTAAAGTAACACAAACACAACAGTCTTTTTTACAAAACATTTTGATTTCTTCTGATCCTCCAAAAATTTGAAATAAAACAATATGATTTGCACTTATTCAACATTGCTCTGACTTTGTATAGCTAGAATATTGATTTTAATTTTTAAAAAAAATTGATATTAAACATTTCCATTTGTATCACTTTCTTTTTTTCCATACCAAGACAAAAATACATTTTCACCGAATACTGCACAATATCACACGGCCGCCCTCTGTTATCTACTTTTATTACACACTTAGTCATAAATACAGGTTTTTTGCATATGCGATATGGCTGACATCACAATAGCCGTATCAGCCCTGCAGGGCTGATATGGATTTGCAGGGCTGATAAGTTAAACCTATATCAGCCGCGCAAATCCATATTAGTCATACAGAGCTGAAACGGCTATTGTGACGTCAATATCACAGCCTCAGTAACTTAAACCACAAAAACATGTGGGTTCATATTCTCTTAATTTTAACTTTTTGAAAGTAAAGTTATTCATGAAGTAGAAACAAACCCAAATCTTATGAGACATTCTACCACGATTATTGAAAACTTCAAAGGAAGCCGCCGGACATTATTCTCCAATAAATCACGAACGTCATCAAAAATTATCAGATCAGAAACACGTATCAAATATTAACAATTCAAATGCATGTTTGGCTGTAGAATGAAATACTTGTTTAGACCGCATCAATGTGTCGTCTTTTGCAGTATAAACACTGTAAATTGCATCAAGTTGCTGATGAATGTCGGTTTTTATAGCTAAGTGGGGCTATTCCACGGACCTCCCTACACATTAAACAACGTGATTTTGGCAGTAAAACAAGAGCATGATTTTGAATATTCATTTTAACTGATCAATACATATTACGAACAAATTTGTTCCATATATAGGAAAGTCAACAAAATTTCTCTCTGGTGTTAAATAGAACAGCGTAATCTAGACATGTTGGCCTAATTCGTTTCTCTATAGAGGAAACAATCGGCTGTATTTATCGCCCTTGGTAGAATAGAAAGTCCTTGTTGTCTTGAATGTTGCAGAATAACCTCCTCGGTCTCGAAATGTTGTTTGAACGCCTCGGCTTTTATATTTCAAACAACATTTCTCGACCTCGGAGGTTATTCTGCAACATTCACAAAAACGCGGACTTTATTTCTTAAATAGACCATGTACATGTATGTAAGAAGTCCATGCATGATTATTTACTTATTTTCTTCTCAACTTAATGTATGCTGTATTTTATTACTAAGTACGCAATAAACATAATAATTGCCATTCTCTATAACCATGCTTAGTACTTGACACCAGAAAAAAATATCAAACAAAAATTCGTTGCTAAGTGTCTCGGTTGCTATGGCAACAGCCGGGAAAGTTTGAAAAATCAAGATTTTCAGCCACTTTAAATCCTGACTGTGGCTTAATAAAAACTAGAAAAAGCAAACAAACCATTCTAACAAAAACATGACACCTTGATGTCACTTATACTGTGAAGAAACTTTTTAGAATATATCTCTAAGTAAGTGGTAACCAAGGGTACATATGGAATACATTTAAAATGCTGAAATATGCTGAAAAACACTCCATATTCACTAATGGTAGGTGTTACATGCTAAAACTCAATCATTGACTTAAGAAAAACAATGAAAATGTTTTACCTTCAGTATATAAGTATAAGCAATATTATTCTGTAAATAACTTTAATGGTTGCCATGGTAACGCAATGGTTACAATGCAAAACCAGTAACTAAGATTGGGTTGATGCTACTGTTTTGAGAAAAAACATGAAAATTCAAGACTGGCAAATATGCATCCTTAGGACCTTGCAACACCAAAACCATAAGGAAAATTGGGTATAATTGCTACTTTGTAATGTTACCATGGAAACAAAGTACTAGTGCTTAAAAGTGAATTTTTTCCGCTGCATTAAGAATTAAATTGCCATTTAATCAAGAAACAAATTAAAGAGCTCAACTGGAATAGTCTTATCTGTTAGAACTGAAGTAAATATCATATATTGATAAAATTTGATGAATAAAACAACACTGTTGCTAAGGTTACCAAGAAGAGAAAATGTTCGATTTTTTAAACTTTATTTCAATATTAAATCCTGTGTGCCAACTTTTTGCATCCACTTAGAGATTGGATGATAGTCAAAATTTAAAGTCAAGTTAGCTGTTAATAAATATCAATCATAAAAGTTTTGGGAAGCTACATTTAAGGGTACGTATCCAAGGAAACAAAATATTTTTCAGGTTTTTAAGCATATATTTTCTGCTTATTTCCATAGCAACGCTCTATTTAAAGAATCTAATCTGAATTTTTTGAAATGGGAAAATTTGGGGCACACCAATATCTTATAAAATTGATCATTAGTTATGGGGAAATGTGCTTTTTTTTAAAGATAGGATCATATTTAAACATACGTAGTGTTACTTTGAAGGCTCTTTGGGGCATTAAAACTTGGCAACCATTGCCAACCAAACTGAAATATCATATTTTTTTTCTTGGTATGTGTTTCAAGTATCTTTTTTCTATTATTTGGTAACATTTCATCCTATAATTGCTTTTTTTATTTTTACGAGTATGACTTCATAAAATTCAATGAATATTTTTTACTTTTGAATACTTTGTTACCATACTCACGCGTGTAATAGTTGATTTACCAAACATGTTTATCATGTATTTGGGACATCTGACCTTCAACTTTTGGAAACAGTCATTGCCAATTGTTTGCTTTGCCGCAAATGTTAACTATGGGGCCCTAAACATGTTAAAAATTGCCATTTTTCGAACTTTAAGACATGTTGCCATGGTAACTATAAAACATATAAACCAATTTTTGCCTGATTTCAGTTCAGGGTATCAATGCCTTTTATCATCGAGAGTTTGGAGAAATTCTGAGACTATGCGAGCCACAGCTCCTATATAAAATTACAAATCATTACAGAGAATGGCTCATTATATGTATCCTTTTCCACATCACATCCTGTATCAACCCTCGACCAATATCAGCCCTCGGGTCTTCGGTCCTCTAGCTGATATTGGTGTCTCGGGCTGATACAGGATGTGATATGAAAAAGGGTATGTATTATTCTCAATACATTCTATGACATATTCTTTGTTACGAAACTGTTCTTTGAAATTATATATTTTCTAGGTGTTTCAATGGCGTCATCCTTTAACAGAAAATTTTACTAGAAATTGGGAAGAGTACAAAAATGGTTTTGGGAGTCTCAATGGTGAATTCTGGCTAGGTGAGGTTTATAATTAAATCAAATTGCACTGTTCATCAAAAAATAAATTAATTAATAAATAAATTACTTTATCAGATTACGCACTTGCAAAATTGTATCGTTGAAGAAATTCAAACTATATTCATAACATCTTTTCAATGCACAATTCTCTGTTCTCCTTGACATACAATACACTGCACTGTTCATTTTTATTCCTACTAAATTAAATCATGGCATAATTTTGTAGTGAAAAAATGAAAAAAAATATTGAAATTGGTTCTTTGTTATTCTGAGCATCTCATCTAACAATTAATTTTTGAATGCATGTATGTAGGGAATACCTCATTTACTTTTATCAGGAAACGAGATCGTTCATCTTTTGACAAAACCACAACGAACATTGTTTCACATTGGTATTTCAAGTAAAAATGGAAGCTCTTGGTATGAAAGATTTGACGACATGAAATTAGCATCGGAAGCTCAAAAGTACACAATTACTTTCGGAAGGGCCTCAGGAACTGCTGGTAAACAATGATATATAACAACACCTAAAGTTACAAGACATTCCTCTTAATAAAGTAATAATCGCCCTCTCGGTGCAGTGGTTAGAACGTCTGCTCTAGAGTCGCAAATAAGGAGTTGATCCTTACGTCGCGGATTCGAATCTCACTGTGGAACAATGAGATCCGTCCTTCGGATGAGACCGTATAAACCGAGGTCTCGTGTTGCAGAAGGTGCTGGCACGAAAAAGATCCCTCCCTGCTCTATTGAGCCGATTGTAGGAAAAAAATTTGCAGCTCTCCATCATTTCCATATGAATGAAAAATTCTCGAGAGGGACGTTAAGAAATATAAAATCAAATTGAATCAATCAATTTAAAGTAATATCCATTTCCAAAAAAAATATACCCTTACTTAACAAATGCAAATTTACAGGTGATGTAAGCTCAAGTGAATATGGTAGCCTTGGTACTATGGAGGGTCGATCCTTTACGACATATGATCGACACAATGATTTGTCACCTTATAACTGTGCACAAAGATTCAAAGGAGGGTGGTGGTTCAATTACTGTTACTACGTTTTTCTAAATGGACCAGGGGATTTTATTGGAGTCAACGTGTACGCAGGTCGTCTTACCATGGCAACTTTTAACTCATCCATCCTCATGATAACTCGACTTTGACATACAGCATTTTAACCACCATTCTTTGTTACATGTAATTGAAAAAACACATTTCTTTTTCTTGTTAATCATTGTAATAATAATATGAAATAAAGAACAGCAAAATATGATTTGGTGCATTTCTTATAAGGATTAAAATATTTACGCAGATACTAAGTGGTTCCAAGGAGTTAGTTTTCTGTTCGAAGTGTGTCATTATTATGATCTCGAAAAAAAAGTTTGTACTTAAAATATAAACAAAACGTTAAGGACAACCATATGAACAAAAAAAAAAAAAAAAACTTTTACCGTAATTTGTTAAAGTAGAAGTAGTTTGCATTTTTTTTTTGGAAATTATAGGAATACATGTAGAATATACGTATATCATATATCTTAAACAATTTAATATCTCTTTACAAGCAAATTAAGCTGGGCAAATATTTACAAACTGAAACGTCAAAATCCAAACGGAAAACTAAAGCAAAAGGGAGGTCAGAGGTCAGCATGTAGAGCGGAGGTGGTTTTGTGAGCTCCGAAGTATAATGTTTAATTGAGTGTTTTTCCAGTGGATAATTTCTGTGAAAATGTACCACATGTAAGTGTATTGTGTATATATTCTGAATACTCTGGGTATGGAAGATAATTTGATGTAAAAACGCTCTAATATAAACTTCTGTCTGATACTGTACAAGGTCGTGAGTACGCGCTCACCAAAATGGCAAGTAGTAAAAACACAAAAGACAATCCAATGAAGAGATTCAGGTGTGATAGCAGTGCTAACTCCGAGAATTTAAGTCAACTTAATGAATTGCTTGACTCTATGTCCGGGGATGAAAATTCCTTTAAGCAGGCAATAGCCTTAATTCTACAAAAAGAAAACTTCAAAAACACAATCACAGAGGTCCTAGTCCCAGAGGTTTCATCCCTTCGTGAGGAAGTAAAAGAACTCAAATTTCGAATGGAAGAGATGGAACAATACTCCAGGAGAGATTGTCTTAAAATTACCGGGATACCCGAAAGCAAAAACGAAAACACAGATGACCTTGTGTTAAATGTCATTAACGGTCTAATTCTCACCAAAAATGATGGAAAAATGACTATTAACGAAATCTCTAGAAGTCATAGGGTGGGCAGATTTAACCCAAAAGCAAATAGGCCAAGAGACATTATAGTCAAATTTCTGAGTTACAGAAATAAAGCAATTGTGTATGCTAAAAAAAGCAATCTTAAATCTTACAATCGAAATCCATCCAAGCAAACAGGCCCGATTTTCATAAACGAGGCATTAACTAAACAAAGAGCGTCACTATTGTGGAAAACGCGAAACGTAGTAAAGGAACAAGGACTGGATAGCTGCTGGACCTATGACGGGAGGATTTTCGCAAAAACAAACGGTAAACAGGGAAAGAAAATTTCTATAGGCTCAGAAGAAGATCTGATTCCGTTCCAAACAGGTGAAGATGTTCGTGGATGTGATGATAACGATCTGTCAATTGATGACGCGCAAGAAATCCAATCTTCAACACCTGTAAGTGATGCACACAAGTAGCCATAAGGTAAAGACATGTAAATATCTTCACGTGTATAAATAAATCGCGATCTTCTGAACGCTTTACTTTAGCTACATTACACAGGGTGTTCCAAGTGACACACAGACTTAGACCATGTTGTTGTTTTTCCTGCTAGTGATAACAGCTTATATTTTAAACTGGCTTTGTGTATGACACTTCTTAATTTAAATGTGATAAAAAGAAATTTAACATAGAAATATATGTATAAACATGTATGTAAAATATTTTTATTAACTTCGGAGCTTCGCCAGTGCATTCCAAACTTGTTATGTACATACGTGTTCATTTAATGCTATTTGCTATAGCAGTCTGTCTTAACAGACCAAATACATTTAAATGTTTTGCTACGCTTTCGTACAACGCAAGCGCCGTGTTTTGTAAATACAAAGTTTACTGCTATGTCAGTTTCTGTCGCCACTTTTTGACATCTGTTTGTGTTTTCTTTGTTAACATCGTTTTGAGTTTTTTCATTGTAATCCGCCACCTTCATTATGTGGTGACAGCACGCATGATCTTTGACTATTTTTTCTGTTTTTATTTTTTTCACTATTGTTTTTATTTGTTTCATGTTTATTTACATATTGAATTTACAACACATACTAGCCATACGTCTGTATCTGACTTGAGCGCCACCCCGTTTGCGGCGATTTACATTTTTTTCATTCTCTATTTTTTTGATAATGGGTAATACTGTAGAACAATATCGTTCCGCTATCGGGGTTTTCTATATGAAATGTAGAGGAATACTGAGAAGGTCTACTTTCAAGATTTTCAACATTGCTGATTTATTTTATTTTCTATACCAACTGAATACATTATTTCGAATTCATCTGAAAAAAATGGGTTCATATCTAATTATCATAAATTATTTTTCTCAGCTTTTCATATTTTTGAAAATACTCTTATCTGGGGATATTGAGATTAATCCTGGTCCATCTTTTAAGAATTCCCTTGATATTATACATTTGAATGTAAGAAGTATCAGAAATAAAATAGACTCGTTGATTTACTTAATACAGGACTTTGATATCTTATGCTTTACAGAAACCCATTTAAATTCAAATTTAACCAATGATGATCTTCATATAGAGGGATTTGGAAATATTTTTAGAAAGGATAGGAATTCATATGGAGGGGGAATCATGATATATGTCTCTAACTCTTTAAAAGTTACTCGACGGAAAGATCTAGAACCACGAAACATAGAGAGTATTTGGATCGAAATCGAACAACCAAACAATAACTTATTTATTTGCTGTGTTTATCGTCCACCAAACTCGAGCAATGATTTTTGGGGAAAATTTTTCATGGTCCATTGAAAGAATAAGTGATATGTCAAACAGTTTTATAATACTTGGGGATCTAAATGTAGATTTTCTTCAAATATTAATCAAAATCATGAAATTTATAATATCATGAATATGACTGGGCTTTCAAACGTAATAAACGAACCTACGAGAGTAACACAATTTACAAAAACTCTATTAGACCCTATTCTTATTAGTCGTGAAAAATTCATATTTGATTCAGGTACATTATTGGTTGACACAAATATCAGTGACCACAAAGCTACGTACATATATGTTAAACAAAATTACTGTAACAATTCTTCATACAAACGTAAGGTATGGAGCTATAAAGAAGCAAATATAGAAGAACTTAATATTTTAATAAACAACTTTGATTGGGAAAACATTATTTCAAAATCAACTGATATTGAAACCGCAACAACAAACTTTACACAACAATTTATGGTAATTATACACAAATGTATACCCGAAAAAACTGTTACAATAAGACCAAACGACAAACCATGGATGGATTCATTACTAAGAACAAATATACGACTTAGGAATAGATTAAGAAATAAAGCCCAGAAAACCAAGAAAGAATCAGATAAAAAAGAATTTCGGAAAGCTAGAAATAAAGTTAATAATATGAAAAAATATGCCAGAGCAAACTACTATGACAACATTGATTCTCATTTAAACGACGCAAACAAAAATAATAACAAACTGTACTGGAAATTGCTAAAAGATGTCTTTCACACTAAAACTTCATCTGAAATACCCCCTATTAAACAGGTGAATGAGAATGGTGAACCTATATACGCATTTTCCGATAAAGAGAAAATTGAATTACTAAATAACTTTTTTACATCCATCTCTGATATAAAAGATGAGGAATATGAGCTACCTAATTTTGAGTCAAAAAATGTAGAAAAATTTTGTGACGTAAATATCCAAGAAAGTGAGATTATTGATATTATTTCTATCCTGCCCGTAAATAAAGCTGTGGGCCCTGATTGTATCAGCCACAAAATGTTAAAATCTTGTAAAGAATCCATAGCTAAGCCACTTTGTCTGTTATTTAAAAAATAACAGAGACTCAAAGTTTATCCTGAAAGTTGGAAACTAGCACATGTCCTTCCATTATTTAAAAAAGATGACCCATCAGTCACCTCAAATTATAGACCTGTATCTCTTTTGAGTTGTGTAAGTAAAATATTTGAGAGAGTCGTATTCAAACATTTATATAATTTTTTTCACACAAATAATTTGTTCTACAAATATCAGGCAGGCTTTCTGCCTGGTCACTCAACTGTGTACCAACTCTTAGAAACTTATCATACTATTGTAAAAAGTATTGATGAAGGGCAATATTGTTGTATGGTTTTTTGTGATTTATCAAAAGCTTTTGATAGGGTTTGGCATAAGGGTTTGATTCATAAATTAAAAATGTATGGTATCTGCGGTAATATGTTAGAATGG